AAAAACTTGCCTCAAGAAACTCTATGAACTTCAAGAAAAAATTAAAGTTTTGCGTTCAAGACTTTCGTTCACAGGTTCTCTGTGGGTCGTCTAGGACTATAAGCACTTAACAACAACAATCACGATATTACCTAACAGACCAATGGTAAGGATTTTTATCTTTTTGATGTTGAGATGGAATCCATATTGAAAGCCTTGATCTTCTCTAGCAAGCATTTCAAATCTCCCTTATTTTTGCAAGCAAGGTTTTGTCATCTGCATAACACAGATCGTTGACCTGACGCCACTTTCTTCCTCATAAAACCCAGCTTCTCTAATGATTTGCTCAGCATACAGACTGAATTGGTATGGAGAAAGGATACAGCCCTGCTGCACATCTTTATTCATTTTAAACCACATGTTGTTAGGTGATGTTAACTGTCTGTGAGTCAGAGCAACCCTGTGTACAATAGCTCTGAACCCTGCCCTAACTTGTTTCTGACACGCCTACCTGCCTCCTTTTCCCCAGTCACTATATCAACCCATCTCATCCAGGATCTTCCTGTGTTGTCCCTCTACCCTTCCAAGCATGATGTCCTTCTCCAAGGACTGGTCCCTCTGGGCAACATGTCCATTTATCTTAATGCTGACAATTGGCCGGCCTAGTGGTGAGAATCTTTGTCTTCTTGATATTGAGCTTTAATCAAGATTGAAGACTGCAGTCCTTAACCTTCTGCAGTGAACACTTCAGGTCCTCTTTCATTTTAGCAAGCAAGATTGTGTCATCTTTATAACCTTCAACCATATGTTGTTATATACCATCGAATCACCTACAACTCATAGTGACCCTGTGTACTCCTGAACCCTGCCCTATCTTGAGTCAATCCCCTCATCTCCAACACACCTAATCCCATTGCCCCATTCACTGAGTTAATCCATCTCATCCAAGGTCTTCATCATGTACTGTCCCTCCACCCTTCCATGTATGATGTCCCCCTCCAAGGGCTGGTCACTTCTGGCCACATACCCATAGTATGTGAGATGGAGCTTCAAAATCATTGCTTCCAAAGCGCAACTTGGTTTCACCGTCTCCAGGATGGACTTGCTTATTCTCTTGGCAGTCCTTGTTATGTTCAACACTTTTCCAGCACCACAACTCAAATGCATTGATTCTTCTTCTATCATCCTTAATCATTGTCCAGCTTTCTGATTCATAACGAAGTAATTACGAAGATCATTGCCTGGAGCAGGCACAACTTAGTCTCCAAACTGACATTGTTGCTCTTTAATACCCTAGAGATGTCCCTGACAGCAGATTTTTCCTAATTCAAGTTGTCTTTGATTCCCTGACTGCTGGTGCCAAGCGTGTTGATTGTGGAACCAAGCATGCTGTAATTTTTAACAATCTCGATCTCTTCTCCATCTATCATGATGCTACCAGTTGGCCCAATGGTGAGAATCTTTGTCTTCTTGATATTGAGCTTCAATCCATATTGAAGACTATAGTCCTTGACCTTCTGCAGTAAATGCATCAGGTCCTCCTCTGTTTCAGCAAGCAAGGTTGTGTCATCTGTGTAACACAGTTTATTGATGAGTCAATCCTGGTGCCACATTCCTCCTCGTAAAGTCCAGCCTCCTGAATGATCTGTAAGCTTCAAAATGCAATATTTAAGGATGCTACTGACAGAATGTTGAATGACCCTGGAAGCATTAAAATAAAGTGTAAGGAGTTCACAGAGTCACTGTACCAAAAAGAATTGTCTGACACAGAAGAATTTAATTAAACAACATATGATCAAGAGACACTGGTGCAGAGGTTCTGCCGGAGGAGGAGCCTCATCCTGTGCCAGTCACATCTGATTTGATGGCACACAAGGAGTTTAAAAAAAATCAATAATGACAAAGGAAGATGTTCAATCTGCTCTGAAGGAATTGGCAAATACCAAGGCTCTAGGAATTGATGGCATATCAATGGACATACCTCAACAAACAGATGCTGCGCTGTATGCACTCACCCAGAAATCTGGGAGAACAACTATCTGGCCAACTGACTGGAAAATATCTACATTTATTCTGATTTCAAAAAAAAGATGATCCACTAGAATATGGAAATTATCGGACAATATCACTAATATCACACACAAGCAAGATCCTGCTGAAGATTTTTTTTAAATGCCTGAAACAATACAGCAGCAGAGAACTGCCAAATATGCAAGTTAGGTTTAGAAGAGACCATGGCACTAGGGACATTAAAGCGAATGTCAAATGGATCTTAGCCAAAAGCAGAGAGAACCAGAGGAATGTCTGTCTGTGCTTCATTGATTATGCAAAGGCATTTTACTGTATGCATTACAACAAATTGTGGCTAACCTTGAGAAGGATGGGAATCCCAGAATTTTTAACTGTGCTCATGAGAAACCTATACTTGGACCATGAAGCAATAGTCAGAACACAACAAGGAAACACTGAGTGTTTCAGGATTAGGAAAAATGTGTATCAGGGATGCATTCTGTCTCTAAACCATATAGTGTTCCTTTATTCTGTTCAGTATAGGGCTTGAGAGTTCAACATAATTTTGAGGAGACATTATTTAATCAAGTTATAACCAAACTTTATCCTTAACATGTGAAATGCTCTGGCCAAAGAAAGATAATCAGTTGCTTACATTCCAAACGTAGTCATGTAACTTTCAGTCAAATGACATGTCTTAGATTAATCTGGAAAAACCATCAAGCCTGATTTTATAAGAAGACATATTTCCAAGCTGTGACATTACAGCCAATACTGTGAGAGTTCAGAACACACACCAAGCTGCTGTTTAGGTAATAGATTAATAATGAAATAATTAGTAATAAAATAATTGACTAAAAATGAGACTATCATAAACGTTCTTTGTATTTACACAAAACTATGTAGGTCTGTGAGTGTGCCCACTGATAAATAATTATTTCGTCGTCTGCACTCATGTTTAGCACTGATGCAACCCAGCAATTAATAAGAGAAAGCAATAAAATCTGAGGCACTCAGTCTCCCCAAGCAATCTGATAATTCCTGAGTAGGCTATATACACAGTGATTAAAGAGAAACAAAGGCAAAGACTTAAACAGCTCTGGAATCTCTCTGGATGCCATGGCACAGCAGCTGCTGACCGCTCAAAGTCATATTCATATCAGTTTAGAGTAGTGGTTCTCAGCTGGGGGGAGGGGTTGTGCCAGCAAGGAGCATAGAGGGGAAATTGCTCCAGTAAGGACTTTCGCAACATCTGAAGTCAAGTTGAATGGCAAACTGGGAGGTTAGAGGCCATCAGTGGGTTGCTACCGGTGTTAAATTAGTAGAAGCCATGGAATGCATACTACTAGATGTCTTAGAATTTTATCTGACAACAAAGAATCATACAACTCAAAATGCTAATAGTACCAATATTCAGAAACCCTCTCTTCTAGAAATACTGCAGAGCAGAATGTGTGAGATTCTGTTTGTACACTAGAAATTTTATATTTGACGATTTAGTTAGAAGAGAAAGGAAGAATATAAAAATACTTGTAAAGTGTTTATTGGGCTCTCTCTCAAGAATGTTGCCCAGAAATGTTTTACTTACTACAGTTGATGACGTTTTGAGTTTGGAATTATTTTTAGTTGGTTGGTTTACAGAAAGCCTGGGAGATACCATGTTCTTATTGGTGTTATTGGAATAACCCTTTTCTTCCTATGGCCTATCCAGCATAATCCAATTCTAGAACTCAAACTCAATGTTGAAACAAACACGCTTCGTATTTTGTAGGCCAGTCCTACATATACATATCTAACCTTGAAGCCTGCTACTGCCTTTTGTACCCAAATCCCCATCTTATTTACTTAGTAAAACAAATAGTAGATGAGAAGTAGGATATTTCCTTGCCTTCTTCTTCAAAGCTCCTTGACACCAGCAGCCATACTAGTAACCACTTCCAAGCCACATTGAAATGACATGCTGACATTTTCCCACCGGTGTTTTGCTTATCGTTCATTTTGCAAGTGAGCATCTTTGACTTTGACAGAAACCTTCCTGATGTAAGTACCTGCATCTATTTTAAAATTTTTTAAAACTCAACATATTGGCCAGAGTCATTGCTTTCTTCCAATAGCCCGGCATGAATGGCTTCCCTACCTGGCTTTAATAATAATGGAAGCTGAGAAACCAATGTACTGTTTAATTTTTTTAAAACCCTTATACTGTGAATAGCTCGATGTCAGTGGCTTTCCAACATCCAAAAAATCTTGAGTCAATGTTACTGTATTTCTTTGTGGACCATCTAATGGTTCCACCTTGTCTAGCCTGTCTCATTTGAGATACTAGAAAGTATGCTATCCCTTGTGGGGAAGGTTAGGGAGAAATGTTTTTGCTCTACGTTTTCTTCTCGTCTTTTGCATGAAAACTTGGAAGCTGCTGAGATTAGACATCTGTGTTCTTCAGTTCTCTCTTTGCATCTGCCTTCTTCATTATCACAAGTAGCCAAGTTAGCTGTAATCTGAGAGTGTTTCCCAGCTTGGTTTGTATTCTTGTGTTAGGTGACAGCCACATTGAGAAAAAAGGCTCTCTTTCCAACTTCCCTTGCTTTTAATTAATCTTAAGGGAATTTGGCAGGCTCTTAAAGATATAGGCACTTTCTCCACTTCCAGAGAAGACTTGCCCTGAATTAGTCACCACATCCCAGAAACAGTTCATTGTAATTGAGTCCCAGTGCCACCAGATATAGAATCTTACAGACTTGGCTAAGACTCTTCCTCCAAAGCACAGTATCTAGCAAAATCGTCCTGAGCCTAAGGAAAATATACCTAGGAATGACTAACTGACAGGCCTGTGTCCCAGCTGAACACCAGATAGAGTTACTAAATAATTCCAAGAAGCAGACTTTGTAACTGCAAAGGAAGCTTCATTTCCTTGTTACTAATTTCAATATTGCCATTATGTGGTATTACTGTGGATTGTAATGTTCTCCATGCCCCTAAACTATATCTTTTGAATCACCCACAGAATGGAAATGAAGAAGAGACCCCGGCATGTCCTGTCCAGGTTGCCAGGCAGCACCGCCATAAAGCAGCAGCAACTGCCGGCCTGCCAGCTGCGGCTCTCCGCCGCCAGAGTCCTCTCGGTTTTTTTTACCTTGGCATTATTCTTTCTCAGCTTGGGCGTCATCCTCATACTGTCTGCAAAGAGTGTCAAAGAAATAGAGGTTTGTTCTATCTTAAAGTTTTAATGTCATTTCTAAGACTTTTTGGCCATGGAGTTATAAATATAAATGGTCCGTTTAAGAGCAGAGCCACTCAGCAGGGAAGAGACAGGATGGGAACATCCCTCTTGCAGCCAGCAAGCATGACTGTGATGGGGACAGGGCCTCTCTGTGGAAGTTTTGTTCATCCAGACTCCTTCCCCAGAATGGTCACTCCCATGATGGCCATGTTTGTACACAAAGTCCTGGCAATCTTGGGAGTTTTGCATGTTGGCGGAGGCCTGAACAAGTGACTGCCAGAGATGGGATAAGGAGAAGCAAGACTAAATGTTTGCCTGGCACCCATAAATCATAGTACTCAAAAGAGATGACCAGTCAAGATCTAGGGCTTCAATGTTTCTCACTTTCAAGAATTAGGTCTTTTAAGGGAGCTCTGGTGGCCTAGTGGCAAGAAGCTGTGCTGCAATCCCAAAGGCTTTCATTTGGAATCCCGAGATGCTTCACTGAAGGAGGGGCAATCTCCTCCTCAAGAAAGGGGGGGAGGGGGAAGAATTATGTCTTGTGTTTTGGTAATGAACTTCCTCTGAGATCATGAATTTAGGAAAGGCAAAACCCCAAGTCTTCCTGGTACGAATACTTCATAAAATCCACCAACCTCTACTTAGTGAGAAACCTTTAAGCTCAGGGCATATCCCCCAGGCACAATTTGATTCGCAAGCTGTTGGAGGATGCAAATCCTACCAACTGGTTTGGAGTGGGAGACAGGAGCTGGTCTACAGCTACCTCAGCCATGCCTGAATGCAATCTAATAAATGTGTCATGGAGATCAGCTGTGAGGAGGTTCCCGGGCATCCCAACCCAGTCTGACCTCTCTGAAGACAGCCACAGAGAACTGATGTATTTATTCCCTCTCCCCGGAAGGCAAAAGGTAAAATTATGATGAAAACTAATCAATACTGATTTAATTGTTAGGAGAATCTAATGTGCTAAGATTTGTAGGGTATGTGGAATTGATTCTAAAACTTTGTTCTGGTCCTCAATGAGTTAATGATAGAATAGGTAAGATATGGGTGGATAGAACAGGGAACTCAACTATGATCGGCTTGGTCATTGTTTCCCCAGCCTCTTCCTGGAGCATTGCCCGCACTTATCTACTGAATGAATGTGTTAAGTTAGTGAGGGTCTCAAAGATTAAAATGTGTTTTCAGGTCCCACCCTCCTCCCAGCAATGCTCACTGCCCTATCTCTCCACTTAGATTTCTCTGCTGCTTTCTGTTTCCCTCTTCCTGGCCCCTGGCAGTGTGTCTCTCTAGGAATTAAGTGCTCATAAATCCTTGTGAGTCTTGCCGTTTGACAAGCAAACCCTTCCCTTACTCATAATAGAACTCCAGTCACTTCTCCCTCCTTTTCATTAATTATACTCTGCTCTCAAAAGGATCCTGCTATTAAGTTAGCCAATTCACATTATAATGTTCATGACATTGCAGGCCAATATATTAATACTCCTAGGGATAATTGAGGGAGCACTTGGGGAGTCCACTGGGATTTGTGCTGTTAACCCAAAGGTGGCACCTTTGACAGTTTGAATCTACCAGCAATTCTGAGGAAGAGAAATTACTAATCTCCTCCCATATGATTTACAGCCTTCAAAAATCCATTGGAGAGTCAACTTTGTGAAGGTTCCAACTCACTATCAATGAGTGAGTGAGAGAGGGACAACTGAAAGTGAAAGACTAGGGGAGCTCTGGTGGCCTAGTGATAAGAAGTACAGAAGGCACGTGGTTCAAATCAATGGGAAGGAAGGAAGGAAGGAAGG